TTTTTTCAAGGAACTATTCACAACTTCTCACAATACGACTAATCTGTTGAATAACGATGTCACAAATTTTACGACTTATGACCTATCAATCCTGGATAGACCCCTTACTAACCATGAAATTAGAAAATCAGTGTTCTCTTTTAAGCCATACAAGGCACCGGGGCCTGATGGCCTATATCCTTTCTTTTTCCATAGATACTGGCATATACTAGGAAGTAAGGTAATTAACCTATGCCATACCATCTTTAATACCTCTAAAATACCTCAGGGATTAAACCACACGTATATTTGCTTAATTCCCAAAATAAAAAATGCCAACATAATCAAAAACTTTAGGCCTATAAGCTTGTGCAATGTCATTTACAAGATCATCACAAAAATAATAGCTAATAGAGTTAAGCCCTTTCTTGACCAACTAATCAATATAGAACATGCTAGTTTTATTAAAGGAAGGAGAGCCAGTGACAATGCTATTATAATTCAAGAGGTCCTTAGAAACTTCAATAGGTCAAAGGGTAAAGAAAAAATGATCGTAAAACTTGATCTAGAAAAGGCGTTTGATAAACTAGAATGGTCCTACATTTATCGAACACTAAAATTTTTCAGATTCCCCGAGAACATTAGTAACCTTATTATCAACTGTGTCACCACCAGCTCTTTCTCAATCCTCGTGAATGGTAGCAAAACAAATGAATTCACACCCACAAGGGGGATTAGACAAGGGGACCCTTTATCCCCATACCTATTTATACTTTGCATGGATATGCTTTCAAAGAACATTAACCATGAAGTAGACCTTAGGAATTGGTCACCTCTCAAATTGAACCCCAGGACACCACCCCTATCTCATCTATTTTTCGCTGATGACTTGACCTTAATGGGTGAAGCTAACCAAAAGACCCTTACAAGTATTAGCAAGTGCCTGGACAATTTTAGTAGTCTATCTGGCCTAAGTATTAATAAGGCTAAGTCAAAAATAGTTATGTCTAGAAACTGCACTATTGAAACTAAGGAAAAGGTAACTACCACACTTGGAATTGTTACTAGTAACACATTTGAAAACTATCTAGGTTTTCCAATATTAAATAGCATCCCTAGGCACAAGGATTATCAACCTTTGATTGACAAGATGAGAGGTAGACTAAACAATTGGAATGCTAAATGGCTAAGTATGGCGGGAAGGTGCACACTAATTAAATCAACCCTAAGTACCTTGCCAAATCACATAATGCAAATAAATCTACTCCCCAGCAAAACCCTTCAAGAGATAGATAAGATCCAGAGGAATTTCCTATGGGGTACCACTAGGGATAAGAAAAAAATCCACTTAATTGGGTAGGAAACAATTACTAAGGATTTATCTAACGAGGGATTGCGTATCAAAAAGGCAAAATCCAAAAACCAAGCCCTCTTGACTGGCCTAGCCTGGAGAATTCTCACTAATACAAACTCCTTATGGGCAAAGGTGTTAATCAGTATCTACGGGAAGAAAAAAAGAACAATGGGTTCATCAATCACATGAAAAAATCTATTAAACGGTTGGAATATTTGTAATAAAGGGATTAGATGGCCAGTTCATAATCAATCTTGTATGAACCTATGGGATACGAACTGGATTCCAAATTACAATAACTTACGCAGTAGCATTGAAGGGCCTCTAAATAAGGGGGAGGAATCGTTACAAGTTAAAGACATTCGTGACCATAAGGGATGGAACTTGGAAAAATTATCCTTTAATCTACCTAGCCCTATTAGAAATTGCATCAAGGCTGTAAATTGTTTCACTAAAAATACGACAAATCAGGCCGATATTAACTGGAGTCTAAATTCCAATGGAATGTTTACAACATCCTTTGCGTACCAACTAATTGATAACAATAACTATAATACTTATGGTAATAATTAGATGTGGAATTTGCAGTGTCCCAATAAAATAAAATTTTTGCTATGGAAACTCTACCACAAGAGGCTACCAACAAGAAGCTATCTTGCCAAAATTGGTACTAACATAGACCCAACGTGCCCCATATGCAAAAACAACAACGAATCAATAAATCACATCTTCTGGGAATGCCCCATTGCCAAGGATTTATTGCAAAAATTAGGGATAAACACTAATAATAGTGGAGGAACAAACAACTGGATAAATTTTCTAATAAATACAAGTCCAAGAATATCCCTAAGATATATAAATTGGCATCAATTACTACCTTTTGTTTTATGGGAAATTTGGAATAATAGAAACCATAACAACATTAACAACAAAATGGCTCCTATAAATATGGAAAAGATCATGGCCTACACTAATGAATATTTTTTTCTCACAAAGAAACAAATATTTGAGGATAAGAATATACAACTCCAAGTAAAGTGGGAACAACCGGCAAAAGGATGGTTCAAGGCTAATATCGATGGAGCTTTTGACAAAACTAACATGGAAGGAGGCATTGGTGGAATTGTTCGTGATTCTAAAGGGAGGTGGAATATGGGTTTCTCAGTAAAGGTTAATACAATCTCACCCATGCAAACGGAGCTCAAAGCTCTATGGCCTATGCTACAACTAATAATTAGGGAACAAATATTCCCCATAGAAGTGGAAACTGATGCCACGGAATTACTCAACATAATTGACAAAAATAACACTACTGATAATGAATTATGCCTTAAATTCATGTTATTGGTGGAGGAAGAAACCAAGCAGGGGATGATATTATTCAAGCATAACTTCGGGCAAGGAAATAGGGTGACACACGTTTTGGCAAATGCAGCATTAAGGAATAATAGTTTTGACAAACTATGTATTTTCCCTAAACCACCTGATCTTGTTATGGATGTATATGACAAAGATCGGGAGGATTATGTTTATATTAGATCTTGCAAAAGCAAACAATGTGAAAATTTGGCTGCACTAGGGAATAGTAGTGCCTTACAAGGCTTAATGGTAGGAGATGATGATGCATGTATGAAAAACAATATTAGGGGGGAGACAACCCCTCCATAATTAATATATATATAAAGTAAGCTTTCTATTTCAAAAAAAAAAAATGAGCTAGAAAATAATAAATAAAACAATTACTATTCGCATAGCAAAAAGAGTAGTTTGCATTGAGGTTAAGCCAAGTGACCGAATAAAAAGCCACTTTAAAATTTTAAGATAAAATCTATTAGTCTATATAATAAAAAAGGTAAGCTAATAGAAATCAACTGACAATTTTAAGATAATATCTATGAGTTATATAATACAAAGTAATTGAATTGAAGGATAAAAATTTGAATCTATAGATATAGTTTTTGAACTTGATTGTAATATAGAATATGAATAAAATAATTCTATTGCATTGTTTTTTTATCCTCATCATAAGTAAAGATGAATTATTATTTCATACGGGACTATTTCTAAGTAAACATGTATTTACAAATGAATCACTTTATAATTTTCATCACGAGTTACAAGTAAAAAAGGATTGAAGATTGTAATGATGATGGAGGATATATAACAAATGAAGTTAGATAATTAGTAAATAAATTTTTTTTAGATTCATTTAGTTATAATGTATTCTTATTCGTTTTGAATCATACTATATTTTCATATTATTTGTAGCACAACCTATATAATTAGGATATTTGAGTACCTCTCAAAAGTTATACGATAATTATATTGTAACGACCTAGCCGGTCGTTTCAAGAGTTATAGCCCCGTTCCCCCATTTTCAGCTTCTTTTGTGTTCTACAACTATATTATGATATACTGGGTTAGTTGGCTCGGGTCCGGAGTGGTTTCGGAGTGAATTGAGACACTCAGTCTCTTATGTGAAGGTTTAAGTTGGAAAAGTTGACCGGATATTGGCTTATGTCTAAAGGACCCCGGATTTGAATTTTGATAGTTCCATTAGCTCCTTTAGGTGATTTTGGCTTTATGAGCGCGTCCGGAATGTGATTTGGAGGTCCGTGGTAGAATTAGGCTTGAATAGGCGAAAGTTAGAATTTTGGCGATGTCACGATCCCAAAACCAACCCGGTCGTGATGACGCCTATCATGGAACTAGGCCAGCCGACACAACCCCAAAACCAATCAATGTTTTCATTTTAAAGCTAAAATCAAAGCTATTTAACAATAAACTTTCATAAAGTGAAGAAAGAAAAACAACAGTGCGGAAAGAAAGCCCGACATCGGGGTGTCACTAGTCATGAGCATCTACTACAACCGTCTGACACATCAAGACTAACATGGCCGGGAAATTACTGAATACAACTAAGGGAGGATAGGGAGGGAGAAAAGCATGGCTGCAATCACCAGGCATCTACCTTGCTAACTCTAATGGACCTGTTTATGATTCATGTATGCCTGAGGGGCTGTATACGAGTGAGTTTTGCCCGAGGGGCTGATTATGTTTTCACCATTTCTACTCACTGTTTTATAACTTCATTTGAAATCTGTTGAAAGATGTTATAAATGGTTTTACTGAAATTGGATTTAAATGAGCTGAGCTAAATTAAAACCGATTTTAAAAGCCTGCTGTATTCTACTGAGAATTTCATGCTATGAACTGTATATGTTTTATTGCTCGTCACTACTGCTCAGTCTTTATTTACCTTTGTTACTTACTGAGTTGGCGTACTCACATTACTCCCTGCACCTTGTGTGCAGATCCAGGTATTTCTAAACCCGGTAGCGGGTGTTGATTACTCAGTGGCAGGTCCATCGGAGTTAGCAAGGTAGCTGCCTGGCGATCGCAGCCCTGCTTTTCTCCCTCCTTATCCTCCCTTAGTTGTATTCAGTAATTTCCCGTCCATGTTAGTCTTGATGTGTCAGACGGTTATAGTCGATGCTCATGACTAGTGACACCCCGATGTCGGGCTTTCTTTCCGCACTGTCGTTTTTCTTTTTTTTTTAGTTAAACATTATATTTCTATTTTCTCAAAATGAATACAATTTAGTCCTAGTAGCAGTTTTGACTCACTGCTACCACTATACATCATCTATCAATTACAAAGTCTATACTATGCTATATTTGATATGCTGTATTTACAATCAAGGAAAAAATCCAGCTGCTCCAATGCTGCTTTCCATCTACTGTGATTCTTCCCTCGTACATGGATGTGTTGGACCATCTCCCTGCAGACCTTCTGCTCATCAATCCTCTTTTGCTCAAATCTGCTACTATTCCTCTCCCTCCATATCACTGCAACCATCATAGTAAAAATGCAGCAAGTGATGCCACTTAATCCTTTCCTGCTTTTTGCTATAATACTGATCCACTGCAGTTCACATTCCCAGTCACCTATGTTCCTTGTGTACCCCAGCCATTTACACATTTTAGCCCATATTCTGTTTGTGATCATGCATTCAAAATATAGGTGGTTGAAGGTTTCCTGAGTTTGTTTACAGAAGGTGCATTCATTTGGGACATTGATGCCTATTTGCATTAATCTATCCACAGTTGCTAATCTTCTCTGCATTGCAAGCCATAGGATAAATCTGAAGCTAGGATGCACACCTGGATGTAGCATTACTCCTCTCCATGCAACTTTAATGTATTCTGGCACCATTTTCTTATACAAATGCTGAATTTTGAACTTCCCATTGCTACACACACTAGTTAGCCTTTGAGTTAAATTCCCTTGCAATTATGACTGCTGCATTACCTCCTCTCTTCTGTCAAAGATCTTCCTGATAACCCATGCTGCTGCCTTAGGAGTCTTCATTGTTTCCAGTTCCTTCTTCTTTATGTAGAAACTGTGTACCCATTTTATCCACAAACAATCCTTTTTCCTGTTAAGGTCCCACAAATGCTTTGTAACTGCAGCTTTATTCCATACTTTGATGTCTAATATATTCAGTCCCCCTGCAACTATTGGTTTGCACACATTGGCCCAAGCTATTAGGGCCTTCCTAGACACTGTTACACTTCCAGTCCAAAGGTATGTTCTGCATATTGTCTCTATCATTTTCAGCACTTTCTTTGGAAATATGAACACCTGTGCCCAATATGTTTGGATGCCAAAGAGCACTGATTTTATCAGTTGGCATCTCCCAGCATAGGATAATAGTTTTGCTGACCAACAGGTAATCCTTGCTGTGATTTTTTCTATCAATGGCAAGTACTGTCCTATACTCAACTTCTTTGAGTCCAGTGGCACTCCTAGATATCTGAATGGTAGCTTACCTTCAGTGAATCCCAGTTTCTGCAAGATGTCTTCCTTCTCCCTCTGAGTTACTCCAGCCATATATATAGCACTCTTGCTAATGTTTGCCTGTAATCCAGATGCTTTGGAAAATCTATGAAATGCTTCATTCAGAAGTTGAATAGAAGTCATATCAGCTCGACAGTATATCAGTAAATCATCTGCAAAGCATACATGTGTACTATTCATTTTTCTACATTTAGGGTGAAAGTTGAAGTCTCCATTCCTGTACAGTTGCTTCAGCTCCCTACTCAAGTATTCCATTGCTATAACAAACAAGTAAGGGGACATAGGATCCCCTTGCCTAATCCCTCTTTTCCCTTTAAAAGGTTTAGTCAATCCTCCATTTAGTAACAGTGAGTAGGAGACTGTGGTTATACAAGCCATTATCCAGGTGATAAATTTGCAAGGAAATCCCATATCTATCAGAATTTGCTTCAGGAAACTCCACTCCAATGTATCATATGCTTTCCTCAAATCTATTTTCATCACACATCTTGGTGATACTCCTTTTCTAGCATAACCTTTGAACAACTCATGACTTAGCAAGATGTTATCCACTATGCTTCTACCTTCTATAAATGTAGACTGAGCTTGATCTATCAAACCATTCAGCACTCCTTTGATTCTTCTTGTGAGTACCTTTGATATGATCTTATACAAAGTAGTACAACAAGCTATAGGTCTGTAATCTTTGACTGTTGCTGGAACTTTTACTTTTGGCACTAGAGCAATGGCTGTTGTGTTGATCATCTGGGGTAGTCTGTTAGTTTTAAAGAAGTTCTGCACTGCTTCAAATATATCTTCCTTCACTATTTCCCAGTTTCTTGTGAAGAATTCCACAGGAAAACCATCAACCCCTGGTGCTTTATCCTTTGGCATGTCCTTAATAGCTTCTATTATCTCTTCATTTGTCACAGGCTGAATTAGTAATCTTTGTTGTTCCAATGTTAAACAAGGTCCCTCTTTTATAACTTCTGTATTAGCACATTGTAGTTCAGGGGCACAGTCCCCCATTAAAGTTTGAAACACCTTTATAAATTCTTCTTCAACTAGCTTTGCATCTGTGATCTTCATACCTGTGTCAGTGTAAATGGATGTGATGTTGTTCTGGCTAGATCTGATTTTCCATTGAGCATGGAAATACCTAGTGTTAGCATCACCACATTCAATCCAAAGTGCTCTTGCTTTCTGTCTGATCACTTGTTCCTCTATGCTGCTCCATTTCTCTATTTGTTCTAATGTTTGTCTTTCCTCCTCTATCAGCATTGTGTCCATAGGCCTGCTTTTCAGTTGGCTTTGAACAATCTCCAATTTTTCCTTCTCTTTTTCCAGCTTCTGCTTATAGGATCCCATGTATGCATTTATGCCCCTCAATTGTTCCTTCATTTCCTTCAGTTTCCCCCATACTCTTTGCATAGGCTCACCATCATATTTCTGCTCCCATACTTTCTCTATCACATTGCTAAACTGAGGGTGTTCGATAACATTTTCATAGAATCTGAATGGCTTAGGGTGGAGAGGCTTAGCCTTTCCACATTTTATAAGGATAGGGGAGTGGTCAGAGACTAAGGGATTCATGTAGTCTGCTTCTACATGGCCATACTGTTGTATCCACTGGTAGTTCCCCAGGGCCCAATCAATCTTGCTATAAACTCTGCTTCCATCATCTTGCTTATTGGTCCATGTATAATGCCATCCTGTTGCTCTCACTGGTGTCAATTGCAAGTCTTCAATCATTTCTTTGAATCCCTTAACTTCAGCAATTGTTACTGGTGATCCAATCCTATCATCAGAACTTAGGACATTATTGAAGTCACCAGATAATATCCAAGTCTCCTTGTCTGGTATACTGATATGTCTCAAGTCATTCCACAGCTTTTCTCTCTTTTTGCCATCATTTTGAGCATAGATGACACTAAGATGAGTTTTAAACTGTGTACTAGCATCCTCCACAATGCAGTGAATGTATTGATCTGACATGTGGCACACCTGCATTTGTACAGTGTTTCTCCAAAAGATCCATATTCTACCATTCACAGCATATTGGTAATTGCAGCATACATTCCATCCTTTTGCTATTTTCTCCTGCACTTTTTTTGACTTATGTTCTTTTACTCTAGTTTCAATACAACCCATAATATCTATTTTATTTTTACCAATAAGAGCTCTCACCTCCTTTTGCTTGAGGGCTTGATTCAGCCCTCTAATGTTCCATGTAGCAATTATCATTTGGATTTTAAAGGATCAGGTGGTCTAGGCTCAGCTTGATGACCACTTCTCTCCTTCTGAATGTAGTCAGAACACTCTGTCCCTCCATTCCTGAATTCATGATCACATTGACAGCTATGCTGCTTTTCTTCCTTTCATCACCTCTAGGTAGTACATTTCCTCCTGTGTTTTCTGTTTTCCTGCTCATACATTGTAGTACTTCCATTGTGTCTTCTTTTGGTTGATTCTCTTCATTCACTTGGTTCTGCTTTACAACCCAGGTTTGTTTTATGATCTTCCCCTGCCTCTTTTTCCTTTTTCTCTGCCTTTCCCCCTTATTCTCTCCTTCAGATTCTTCCCCTTGCTCCTACTTCTTCTCCTCTTTCATATTATACCAGCAATCCATTGAGTCATGTCCAAATCTTAGACATTCATTGCAGAAGCTATGTTTCCAATCATACTCAATGTCTTGAGTCATTTGGCCATAAGGAGTTTCCACTTCAATTTGGTCAGGGAGCATATGAGCAACATCCACTTCTACTAATACTCTAGCATAGGAGATTTTCTCATAGTGAGCAGTAAATCGATCAGTGTATAATGGCTTACCAATAGCACTAGCCATTTTACTAAGTGCTTCAGTAGACCAAAATCCCACCGGCAGCCCTGGGAACCTCACCCACACTGGAATTGTGCTTAGCACATCTTTGTTGAACGTGAAGTCAATTTCCCAGATACTAAGTACCACAGGCTTGTTTCGAAATGTGTAGGGTCCAGATTGCAGCACTAGATCCTTGTCCGCTATGGAATTGAATCGAAAAATACAGTACCCCTCAGCATGCATAAGGATCTTAGGCTTTGTTACAAAATTCCACACATTAAGCACATAATTCTCCATAGCCTTTTCATATGGATTTTCCCCAATCACATACCCTATCAAAGCAGTTTTCCAATATTCCTCTTGCGCTTTCAGATCATCCGCACATAGTTTAACCACTTTCTTACCTTCTCTATCAATTGGAGGCACATACGAAAGTGATTTACCCATTTGTAAGCTGCAATTTCCACGAACAACATCAGCTGTTGTAGGCGTGGGCTTTCCCGATCCACTAGCTTCTGAATACTGGAGTTGCCTTACCGTTGAATTCAATTGCTCTTCCATTTTCACTGTCTTTAATTGAGATTCATCCTCTGAGCTGCTTAATTCATCTCCTTCCTCAATCGATTGAAACTTCTGTGGTAGAAAATTACCAAAAGTTAGCGGGGATAATTCCTTTTGAATACCATTCTCTGGAGTAATTAACTTCTCCTTCTGCGGATCAGGGCCATGCAACGTTTTCCGGCGACGTGCCATTTACTCCGGTGACAATCGCGGTCTTTGCTATTGTGCGCCGAACGTAACTGTAAATCGCCAGAGCGGTTATTTGCATCCGCTTTTCATATTGTTTTTCTTTCATCACTTTATGAAAGTTTATTGTTAAATAGCTTTGATTTCAGCTTAAAAATGAAAACATTGATTGGTTTTGGGGTTGTGTCGGCTGGCCTAGTTCCATGATAGGCGCCATCACGACCGAGTTGGTTTTGGGGTCGTGACAGGAGATTTTGGCCGGCAGTAGAAATTTTGATATCGGGGTCGGATTGGATTTTCGGAAGTTGAAGTAGGTTTATGGAGTCATTTTTGACTTGTGTGCAAAATTTGAGGTCATCCGGGCGTGGTTTGGTAGGTTTCGGCATCGTTTGTGGAACTCGGAAGTTTAGAAGTTCTTAGGCTTGAATCCGGTGGTAATTTGGTGTTTTGATATTGTTTTGTCACGACCCGAATTTCCCACCCTCGGGAGTCGTGGTGGCACCTACTAGTGAAAGCTAGGCAAGCCAACCAATTGAATTATTTACCTTTTTCTCATTTTTTAATCCTTTAACAGTTATGAATCAACATTATATATTCAGCGGAATTAAATAAGCGGAAGAACAAATTATAACCATTTAAAATCTTACCAATACAATTCCTTAAGCATAGACTACCCAGAATTGGTGTCACAATTTCACAGACTGTCTAAGAATACTACAAATAAGGGTCCAAAAGATAAATACAACGCTGTCTCCAAAATACATAAAAGAAACATAATGAAGGGATAGGAGGAGACGCCAAGGCCTGC